GAGGGGGCACATGGGGGTCATGGAGCCAGGCGGGGCCTGTAGGGAGCAGCACAGTGCAGCAGGGACATGGGTGGGGATAACAGCATGGAGGATTCAGGAGGGACTGGCAGGGCATGGGGGAAATGGGTGGGATGGGGAGGTGAAGAGGGGCCCAGGCAGCTGGGGGAGGCACAAGGATCAATCTCTCTGCAGCCCTAGAAAAAAGGGTGGTGGAGAAGAGCCCCCAGCTGTGGGCACGGGGGGTGTGGGTAGGAGCTGTGGGTGTGGGTGAGGAGCTGCAGCCCAGCTTGGTACCACAGCCCTACCATCCCTGCTGCCAGGCGGTGCTGGGCCTGCTGGAGACCTGCCTGGCCATGGCAGTGTGGTCCTGGGGGTGTGGAGTTATTATACTGGGCCCTGAAAACCTCGAGGCTCCTGTCCTGATCTCGCTGTATTTGTGGGGTGGTGGGTAAGGGGTGCTGGTGGTTCCCAGCCTGTCCAGGCTCTGCTGCTGCCCCATCCCAGTCCTGGGGACAGGCTGGTGGTGTGGGAAGGGCAAGCAGCAGACAGACAGGCTGGGGCAGCTCAAGGCCCTTCATCTGCCTCTCTGCAGACCCCTCAGATGCACAAGGTGATGTTTTCTTGGCTCCCTCCTCCGCTGTGCTGCAGACCCAGCCCTACACCCTCCCAGCTCCAGCCCCACGTGCTGGGGAAGAGCCGGGCGCTGGCACCGAGCGGCTCTGGAGGAGCTGGTGCCGGGAGGGCAGACAAAGGCAAATTCCCGGAACAATGAGTGGAGCCGGCAGCACTCCCGGCTCGGGTTTCCATCCTGTTTCCCCTCCTGAGTGCTGTAGTAGAGGCTCTTTGCTCGTTCCCTGTTGGTGTCTGCATGTTCATTCCTCTGCTGCTCCTTCTGGGATGCTCCGGGGTGTTTAACTTTGTTTGACAGTACCGTGTGTGCTGTGCACAGCACACCTGCCAGCACACCTGCCCTCCCCAATCCCCCTGACAACGGGGCCATCTCAGGGTACTCTGGCTGCAGGGTGGGTGCAAAGCCTGCTTCAGTGTGCGAGGGGAGGTGGTGGGGGAGAGGATAGGAGCTCTCTGGCCCTGCCTGCAGCTGGCCTGAGCCTGACACACCTGATCCCAGCTCAAGCTGGAGCTGAGCTGCAGCCAGGGGCTTTGCTCCTGGGGGTGTCAGTCCTGCTCTTAGATCGGCTGTGCCATGGAGACTCCTAAGCCAATTAAAGCGGTAACTCTCAGCACTCACCCTCCAGGACATGTTGGTCTCAAGCAGCAGCTGAGGCTCTTTCTAATCTCTGGATTTGGGATTAGTTCGGGTGACCAGTTAAATGCAGTTAGTTAAACCCATTAGTGGGGTTGGATCCGGTGCAGGAGGATGTGGCAGCTAGTGGTGTTGGATAAATGCTGTAGGTGAAAGAAAGGATTTTCCCTGGTCAGAGCACTGTGTCCCTTGCCAAACTTCTCCCCCTTCCTGATTTACCTGCCTTCTCCCTCACCTCTGCAGATCTCACCTCTACCAACCTCACCGCACAGCCTCAAGCTCCACTTGTGATAAAAACCCCCAATCCCCAAAAAGAAAGCTGCTTTCCACCTGAGAAAGCAGCTCTGAGCACTGACTCTCTGGTTATCCCTGATTAAAGCTGTTGAAGTTAGCTGTCATTGGTGTGTTCATGATGCACATGCACAAACTGCACCACGGGCAGTCTCCGGAGATGCCGCCGGTGGTGTGACCATGTGCCCGTGTAAGCAGCAGTAGCATGAGCCTGACCCCAGCTGGTCCCACAGCACCACCGTGCTTGTGGGCCATGCTTGGATGTTTTGCAGCTCAGGAATTGTTATCCACTCACAAAGTCCCCAGCTTCTTCACCAAAGCAGCTCTGCAGGGCAGGGATGCTGCTCATGTCGGTGTGTCTGCTGTCCGGAAGTGTGTCAGGGTCCCCTGCCACCTCTGTGGGCTGGCAGCTGGCCAGGGTGTGCTGCAGGTCCCATCGAGCTGGGGACAGCCCTATCTGTGCCTGTGTTTGTGTTACTCTGTGTCAGGGTCACACATGATTTGGCTGCCTGGGGTCACTGGGGCCAGACCTGCAGTTCCCTCTCTTCCTGAAAGCCTCCATCAGCCTGTGTACCCCATCCTCTGCTGACCTGGGGGCCCAGTGCCACTCCTCAGTCCTGGTGCCAGTCTGGTAGTAGTCCAGGAGGGCAAGGACATCCTGGGCGGGCTCATGAGGAGTGGCAGAGCTGGGACCCGCAGGTTTCCCCATCACTCTGCTCCCTAGAGCTTTGCTCTGTCTGTGTGGGGACAGGAGCCCTCCCAGCCCTGGGAGCACCCAGCTTTGGAGTGTCAGCTTGTCCTGCTGCAGGACCCGGTGCTGGCAGTTCCCATCTAGCCCTGGTGCAAATACTAAGCCTTTCCCTGAGCACAGGTGCCCTCAGGTACTCTCATCTGCCCTGAGTAGCCAGGGCATCTTGACGTGTGGGGTTGGTGGCACACAGTGAGTGTGGTGACATGGGCACATGTGCAGCTCTCCCTGATGACCTGACGTGGTAGGATGTGTAAGGGATTAAAAGGACTGTAACAGAGAAGCAATTTTCTCCGTGTTTAAATATGGGATTAAGAGATGAGATCCCAAATTATCTTCTAGGAAAATCACACTTCCTATTGCTCACTCTGGGACCACAGAGTTCCTTGTCTTTTTCCATCTGAGGATGATGATTAGCAGATTTGTTTGTAACCAGTGTTGGGCTTTTCTCCTCATTCATTTTCTCCAACACCTGAAAACTGGGCTCAGTAGCTGGGAGCTGGGGGCAAAGAGTGGCACTGGTGACAAATCCAGCTGTAGCGGGGCTCTGACAAAACCAGTGCCCACCCAAGCCACCACCTTCCTGCTGCAGGGTTCTCTTTTGCAATACAAAGGAGGGAGCAATTAGCCCTGAGAGCTCTCGCTGTCGGTTTCTGCCTCATCATCAGTTTTTTTGAAAATTAAATGATTTTTTTTCAAGTGATTGATTCTGTGTTTCCCGTGCAGCTGCTGCGGCGCAGGGCTGGGGAGCGCCCGCCGTGCTGGCAGCGCTGGGATCGCTCACTGGGCTGAAACACCACGGGATGATCAAATGCAGAACAAATAAGAATCAACATTTCATTCGGGCGAGTTGATGGGAGATGAAATCTCGTTTTAATGAGACCTATGGAGTTGGTGGACAGAGGGATAATTGTGACCTTGCTAAAAGCTGGGGAGGCCACGGGTCACTTGTTGTACAGTGCAGAACCCAGGGCTGGGGCTCCGTGGTGTGTGTGCAGGGGCTGTTCTGTGCCGTGGACAGTGGGATGGCTGGTGAGCCCAATTACCAAGACTAATTACAGGGACAGGATGAGGTCACCAGCTCCCAATCCTGGTTCATGCATGGGCACCCTGGGACAGCAGTGATGCCCTACAGCAGCCAGGGCTCTGAATTGCTTCCCTTGTTTCCCCCTGTGCTGTCCCTTCCACTCCTGGGCTGCCCACTGATTTGCTCCCCATCAGAGAGGATGCTCCTTTGTGCCTGAGGGGCAGTGACTGTGGTGGTGCCACAAGGGCAGCACTGGCCTGGCTGCCATGAGCAGGTGGCACTGGGATGCAGATCTATGCCAGGAGCCAGGAGCCAGGTGGCCACAGCCTCTCCACACCCCAAGCAGTGAGAGATGGGCTGCAGCAAAGGCTAAAATTAGGTGCTGCCCTGAATGTGGAGGTTAAAACGTCACTTTTGACACCAGCACAGAGAAGCTGGTGAGGGCTGGGAGTGGAGCTGGAAGGGCAGAGCAGATGGCAGCAGGGTGTCCTGAGGGCTCGGTGGCCCCAGCTGATGGCCCTCACTGTGCTCTCCAGGCTGTGCAGCCCCGGGGGTGGGAGCACTCTGCTGTCCCTGCAGCGGGAGCAGGGCTGGCTCCTGCCTCCTCCTGCCTCCTCCTGCTGACGGATGAGCTGAAAGTGCTGCGATCAGGCTTTCTCCCATGCTCTGGGCTGATGGAGTTGTCTGGCAGCACATTCTGGAGCTGATGGAGAAATCCTCTGCCAGAGGATTTTATTCACTGAGAGGAATCTGTGGCCTGACGTCCTCCTGCTGCACCTGTTTTCCTCCTTATCCGGCTCCCTTCTCCTCCTCGCCAGCAGAGCCCTGGCCGTGGTGCAGGCAGGGCTGCCCGGGGAAGCCCTGCCTGGCCAGCCCTGTGTCCCCTCCCGTGGTGCCAGATCTGGCCCGGTGCCGTGGGGAGGGTCCCTGGTGGCGGTGACTCAGCCGGGCGTGCGTCGATGCCACGCACACCTCCACTGACCCCCGGTCGACGACCAGATGGCCGGGGCCAGCGTGTGGCTGTGCCCACAGCCCTGCCAAGAGCCCAGGCAACACCGGCATGAGCGCCGGGAGCTTCCTACGGGCAGCACGGCACAACCAGCTGGTTCCTCCATCCTGGCTGGGGCAGGAGGAAGCAGGGTGGGCTCTGTGCCAGCTCGGACCAAAATATACCTTTTGAGAAGTATCTGAATGTGATGCTGGGCTGGGGCAGACCTGAATCCATGGGTGACTGGAAAGTGGAGCTGTGGATGGGATCCCTGGCTGGGGGAAGCCAGATCCTGCATGGGTGGTTAAGGATTGGGGTGATGGGTGGGTAGGCATTGTATGGCTGGGTGGGTAGTGGGGTGATGGCCTAGAGCTCTGGGGTGCTGAGCTGGCTTTGCACAAGCTGCCCCTTCCCATATTGGAGCACTGGCCTGGGACAGGGATGCATTCGTCATTGCTGCTGTCTGGCAGCTCCTGGCACCGCTGGCCTAAGGGCATTTCCATGGTGCCAAATCAGCAGGAACAGGTTGGCAGTGGTCACAGGGCATTCCTGCTGTGGGCAGAGTGGGGTGAGCTCACCCGGCAGCGTGGGCTCACCTCACCCTTCCCCTGCCTGGTGCAGGTACCTCCGCACGCTGTACCTGGGGCTGCAGAGCCGGTGGCAGGCCGAGCACCGCCGCCGCCACTTCTACTGGCGGATGATGTTCGAGAGCGCCGACATCAGCATGCTGCGGCTGCTGGAGGCCTTCCTCAAGAGCGCACCCCAGCTCGTGCTGCAGCTCAGCATCATGGTGCAGCAGAACAGCATCGAGCCGTTGCAGGGTAAGGGACAGCACTTGCAGGGGACAGGATGGGGGGAGGGAGGTCCCTGATTTCTGCGGGTTCTCATGGCTGCTCCCCGCAGGACTCTCAGCCTCAGCCTCGCTGGTCTCGCTGGCCTGGATGATCGCCTCCTACCAGAAGGTGCTGCGGGACTCACGGGAGGATAAGATGCCCATGTCCTACAAGGGTGCCGTGGTGCAGATCCTCTGGCACCTCTTCACCATCGCTGCTCGTGCCATCGCCTTTGCCCTCTTCGCCTCCGTGTTCCAGCTCTACTTTGGCATCTTCATCGTCACCCACTGGTGCATCATGACCTTCTGGATCATCCAGGGTGAGACAGATTTCTGCATGTCCAAGTGGGAGGAGATCATCTACAACATGGTGGTGGGCATCATCTACATCTTCTGCTGGTTCAACGTCAAGGAGGGACGGAGCCGCTACCGCATGTGCATCTACTACATCATCACTCTGTCAGAGAACGCCGCCCTTACCATCCTCTGGTTCCTGTACTACGACCGCGAGACCACCTCCGACTTCAACGCCTTAATCCTCGTCTGCGTGGTTAGCTCCAGCTTCGCCCTCGGCATCTTCTTCATGTTCATCTACTACTGTCTCTTGCACCCCAACGGCCCCATCTTCAGCCACCGTTCCGTGGGCTGCATCTTCCGGCAGGAGCCACCCCCGGTGCCGGGATCCCCCGTGGAAGCCGTCACCAGCCCCCCGCGCTCGCTGCCGCGGACTACAGGGGGGGAGCGGGACGGGGCGCCAGGGGAGCGGGACAGCTGCGTGCCCGTCTTCCAGGTGAGACCCTGTGCCCCGCCGGCGCCGGCCGCCCGCGCCCCGCGGACAGAGGGGCCCGTCATCCGCATTGACCTGCCCAGGAAGAAGTACCCGGCCTGGGATGCTCACTTCATCGACCGGCGCCTTCGGAAGACCATCCTGGCGCTGGAGTACGCGTCACCCACCACTCCCCGCCTGCAGTACCGCACCCCCGGCGCCCCGCAGGAGGTGCTGGAGTACGAGACCACCGTGTAGGTTGCGGGGCGTGAGGCTGCGGCGGGAGCTCCGGTGCCGCCTAGGCCACCCTGTGTCTCCACAGCTGTTTGCCTTCCTTTAGGTTTGCGGGCGCTGCCGTGTCGCCATGCCAAGCATCCCGTGGGCGGTGGCCGGGGAGGTCTCTTGGTGCTATCCCCTCCCCGCGCTGCCTTCCCGCAGCCCAGACCCGTCCCACCCGACGGCGGCCGCTCGCACGCCCTCCAGGGCTCGTCCTTGCCAAAATACCTCACCGGTGCCTGAGCCCAGGCGGTGGGTGCTGAGGCCCATATCAATGGTGCCGGATGGGGACCGGGGACACCCTGGGATGGGAGCTGGCAGCTGCCAGGGGCACGGTGGGGTACGGTGGGGTGCAGTGGGCAGCACACGGGAACACAGGTGCCTGTGCCACGGCAGAGCCGTGGGGATGGATCATGGCTGCCCTGGGGTGTGCATGGGGCTTGTGACCCCCAGGGAGCTGGGGCAGGGACAGCCGGGGGCCATCCGGTCCTCCTCACGTCTCCCACTTCCCCCACAGTCTGCCACACCAACCCTAAGTGAGCCCCTTCATATCCATTCTCAGTCCCCCTGGCTCAGGGTTGAGCCATGTCCCCAACTCCATGGGGTGTCCAGTATCCTGTGGGGCGGAGACCCTGGCCTGGGGAGGCCCCCCGTGGGTGGGCACGAACCTTGCACCCCTGGTTCTGAACTGGGTCCCCAGCTGCGGCCGGGATGGCTGCACCCCATCCTCCCCCCCATCCTCACAGGAACTGCTTCATCTCATTGGGTTTGTTTTCACCTGAATGGTGACATTTTGTGTGACATTTTCTACCTCCGCTGGGGCTGGGGGTGGCAGGGCCTGGCTGGCACCACTGAGGGGTATGTGCGGGGCCGCCGGCGTTCCCCGGATTGCCCAAAGTGGGATTCACCCCCAGCCGTTCTCCTCTCCTGGGCTGGCATCCCTTCCCACCCGGGAGCATTTCCATTCACTCCATCAGCATCACCCCCCTCCAGCTCCCCGGTATAAATCTGGGTTGGGATCCTGCCTCCCCTGATCTCGCCCTGTGTCCCCCCCCGCCTCTCCCCTGCTTCTCCCCAGTCCCTGCCCCGCCTGCCCCTGTCTGCTCCTGCCTCCCCAGAGGAGTGGGGCTGCTTGGGCTCCGGGTTTGAATGTGTATCTGGTCCTGCCCGGATCCGCCGGCCCCCACCGAGGGGCTGTGCTGAATGTACCCTGTGCCCCCCAGGCTGGGACTGTCCCGGGGGGGTTGTGTGCATGTGTGTGTGTATGTGTATGTGTGTGTGCAGGGGCTGGCAGAGGTTTGCAGGGCAGGGGAGCTGCTGGACCCCCAGCCTTGTGCTGCCCCAGCCCCTTGTCCCCCACACCCACGGCTCCTGTGCCTTCCCTGCATCCCCTGTGCCCCCGCTATGGCTCCACGGGGCTCTGGCCTCTGGCTGCCCGGAGTCACAATGCCAAGCCCTGCCCGGGCTAGGGAGCGTGGGCAGCACTGAGAGCCCCTCTATGCCATGGGGCACCGTGTGAGGCACTGGAGGATGGAAGGAGTGGGATGGGAGAGCTGCACCTGGGAACGGTTGGGATGTGGGGTCCCTGAGGGCCAGTGTGGGTGCCCGGCCCTGTGACACGGCCGGAGAGGGTGGGTGTGTGCTGGCGGTGGCATCACGTTGCTTTTGTTTCCCATTTCTTGGTAGCCGGGGTGACAGCAGGCTGGGCTGGCCATCGCTGGGTTCACTGGTGCTAACTGGTGCTAACTGGAAGCCTTGGAAAGCCTTTAGGAAGAGGGTGCAGAGCATGGCTGGGGCTGGGCAGTGGGCTGGGCCCCTGCCACCTGCACCCCTCCTTTACTGCCGTCACGGGCAGCTCCCGGTGGTGTGTGCTGGTCGTGCTGGGGCAGCCCCGGCGTGGGGCGGCTCTGGGGCGGGGTCTCTTTTCCTCAGGGAAGGTGAGGGGCAGCAGCCAGGGGTACCAGGCTGGTCCGGGAGCTCACTGCTGCAGGCATCAAGCAGTGTCGCCGCAGCCCCTGAACGGTGCCCAGGCGGCGGCAGCTCCTCCCTGGGTCCGGCTCACAGAGGATCTGGCGATGGGCCACATGGGGACTGTGTGCCAGCACGCGGCGGCTCCTCTGGGCTCCCCCTGCCCCTGTCCACCCCGGGGCAGAGATGTCATTTGGGCATCATTTGGGCATGCCCTTCGTGCCAGAGTTTGCGTGGGGACCGCAGGGCCACGCTGGTGGGTCAGAGGGACACTTTTCTATGCACTCAAGCCACGGTACCCTCAGCCCTGGGCTGCTCTGGGCAGAGGAGTCTGGCCACGTGTGGGGTTCGGGGGGAGCCCTCAGTCTCATTCCTGGGTGCCCCAGGCCACCCCCCGCCCTCCACCCAGCCTGTGCCACAGCGGCAGCCGAACCCAGCGCCCTGTCCCCTCCCGTCCACCAGGGTGGCAGCGCCTGCCCACTGGGATGACAAGGGGGCACAACTGGGGGCCAGGATGGGCACAGCTCCAGGGGTGCTCGAGATCTTGCTGGGCGTGGGGGGTTCCTGGTCCCTGGGGATGTCACCAGGGGTGGCAGCAGGGCTGCTCCAGCTTCAGGAAGTGAGAGAAGTTCGTTCTGGCAGGGGCTGCCGCGTGGTCTCAGCTACATCCCTGAACCCCCCAGCGCTGGGACCCGGCGGCTGCTGTCACGTACTGTAAATACTCTGTGTGCCACCTTCTTCTCTGGGACCCTCGGCGCGGGCTGGGGCGAGTGGGAGGCCGGGGTCCGTCCCGAGACTTTTTTGTATACCACAAACTTTTTGTATATTTTTAATTTTGCTGCAACATGAGATATTAAATTCATTTCAATAAGCTCTGCCTCTGGGATCCTGTCCTTGTCGGCACCTCCAGCTCACAGCTGGGGCTCCAGAGCAGGGCAGGACGATGCCTGTCTGTCCCGGACTGCTCGGGGGCATCATTAACAGAGCAGGATGGCTGTAGCAGCGCTGTCTGCCTGGTGTCGGTGGCCCTGGCCATTGCCAGTGGCCCTGGCGTGGTGGCCGGCAGGGAAGGGGTGCACAGGCAGGATGCAGCGTCTCGGGGAGGAAGCTGCCGGACATGGCAACTGCCGGGCCAACCTCCTCCCTGCCGGAGGCCCCGATCCCCGGCCAACCCCCAGACCCACGGTGCGTTCGGATCCCATGGGCAGCTGTGGGTCGGGGTGCTGGATGCAGCTGTATGGGCTCCTGTCAGTGCTGTTCCCAGTGCCAGGGCCGTTCCCAGTGCCAGGGTCCCGTGTAAGCGGGACAGGATGTGGGCAGGGAGGGCTGGGAGCCCCCAGGGCTGCCCCATGAGGACGGGGTTGATATGGGGTCATAGGGAAGCAGAACCAGCTCCATCCCCAGTCCCAGGAATGAGCCCTGCAGTGAGGGGCGGGGGCTGCTCCATAGCGGAGTTCAGCAGGCACCACCAGCACCTGCTCTGGTCCCAGCACCTGCCCCAGTCCCATCTCAGCCCACTTCAAACCAAATCTGCCCAAATCCCAGCCCAAATCTCGGTATGTCAACCTCAGCCCCAGTCCCAGCACCAGCAACAGTCCAAGTCTCTGCTCCAGACCCGTCTCAACCAACTTCAGCCCCTGCTTCTGCCCCAGTAACAGCGCGGCCCCTATCCCAGTCCCAGTCCCAGTCCCAGTCCCAGTCCCAGTCCCAGTCCCAGTCCCAGTCCCAGTCCCAGTCCCAGTCCCAGCCCAGTTTCAGTCTCAGTGCCAGCCCAGCCCAGCTCAGTCCAGTCCCAGCACCCCCCAGGAGAGGCAGGAACTCACATCCCAGCTATCCTGGTGGAGTTTCCGACACAGGAAAGCGCCGCGGCGCCGAGCGGGGCAGTGGGGGCGGCCGCAGAACAGCGTCCTGCCATGGACAGCGAGGCCAAGAAGGGGAAGAAGGTGCGTGGGGCTGGGGCTGGTGTCCGGGAGGCTCAAGGAGGGTGGGAGAGGGTGAGGTGAACAGGTTTGAGAGGCTCCGCACCCCTCCCACAACACAGTGGGGAGAAGTGGAGCCACCCAGATAGTGCAAAGAGCCAGCAGAGAGGTGCTCAGCTGTTGCCACCTCCTCCGCAGGCGCTGGGTGCCACGGACCCCGTGTGTGGGGGCCAGGGTTGGGTGCCCGGTGCTGACCCGTCCCCGTGCCCACTCCCCTGCTAGGGTTTCGTGTCGCCCATCAAGCGGCTGGTTTTCCCGAAGGCTGCGCGGAGGGCAGCGATCCGCAGCAGCGTCTATCGGCGCCCGCTGCACTCCGTGCCCCTCTACCCCCCCCACTACCTGATCGACCCCCAGATCCTGCTGCACGACTACGTGGAGAAGGAAGTGAAGGTAAAGGGATCCACAAAAGTGCCCAGGGTCACTGCTTGCTTGGGGTGGGGATATGAGGCCACCACACCATGCTGAGAGCCACACACTGAGTGGCCAGAAGGGTCCTGGTCCCCTCCCTGCCCAGGCAAACAACCAGGGAGGAGGAGGGTGTCCTGGCGGTGCAGAGAGGACCCCTTAACTGCAAGGTCTCTCTGAACCCCAGGGAGATGTGTCCTAACCTTGGGGCCATGGATGGGTGGGAGGGACGGTACATGCCCCAGCCTCCTCAGCTGCCCAGGGCTTTCCCCGCCCCAGTTTTTAGGTCATCTGACATGGGTGACATCCTCCCTGAACCCCTCCAGCCGGGATGAGGTGCTGCAGCTGCTGGACACGGCCAGGGTAAGAGGGGTCCCCACTCCTCAGAGGGTGGGCACTGGGCACCCCACACTGCTGGGTGCCCCACGCACCCCCTGCACTCTGTCCATGCAGCAGCTGAAGGAGCTGCCGCTGCAGACGACGCCAGAGCAGGACAGCATCCTCAGCCTCTCGGCGCGCTGCCTCCTGCTCACCTGGCGCGACAACGAGGAGCTGATCCTGCGAATCCCCACGCACGAGATCGCAGCGGCCTCCTACCTGCGCGACGATGCTCTGCACCTCCTCATCCTC